CTTGAAAAGTTATCAAAGAAAAACATTTTTCATTTTGTAACTTCGAGGGCCCGTAACTTGGTTACGAAGACTTTTAGGAAAAAAAGTTATATGAAGTACTGGTGATATTTTGACCCCATCTATACATTCCCGAGAGGAAAAGAGGAAGTCCAGGGATACCCTGTATATTCACAATATCCAACAGATTCACCCTAACATACAAAATAACGATCCGTTATGCAGAATCAAATTCAATAATTTTTCTGAAAGGTGATTAGCGACGGATCAGTACAATACTATCAATGTACAATGGCGCGTGAGAGTCACTTGTGCTTTTCTGCTCTCACAAGTTGGTTGCCAACCCAAGATATGGTTTTAATATTACGCAACTTTGATCGCAAATTTAACCACTCTCGATTCCACAAACATGACAATTTATTTCACAAAAAGACTTTCAAATCGCTCGGTACACTACGAGATACTACTTCTGATTCAGCACTTACTATCGCGTTTCGCGCACATTGGTCTGCTTTTTCATTTCCGTCTATCCCGTTGTGAGAAGGGATCCACATAATGCTGATCCTCCGGGAGTTCTTTTTTGCTTCCAACAGTTTTGATTCCATCATTTTGGTAATAGGATTGATAGGATAAATTTGCTGTGATATTTCTACTGAACTAAAGGAGTCTGTGAGGATTAGGCCTAACGAAGAATTGGAGTGATTAATGAACTGGATTGCCTTGTATAATGCATACAGTTCTGCGGAAAAGACGGTAGTGTCAGAGGGCAGTTTATATTTGAAATCATCGTTAGGAGTTACCACCGCTGCACAAACATCATTGTCGGTTTTTGAGGCATCGGTATATACTTTCGTGAAATTATGGTAACGCTGATTTAAAATAGAGGCCAAGGCAGTTCTGATGATAGAAGGGTTTGTATCGTGTTTATTATAGCGATGTAAATTGGTGTTAATTTCAGGAATTGCTATGGTACAAGGGGGTGGATGGTCGAGATCTAACGGATAGACATCCGGGAATTCAATGTTTAGGTGCTGAAGATACGTTCGAATTCTTTCATAGTATGGCTTAGGTGTGCGTGTCTTTCCATCGAAATAGTACCGGTATTTATTGGTAAACGTATTATTCGATGGTATTATCGGAGAGAAAATTGTAAACTCTTACTGAGAAGGATCTATTTTTCAAAAAGTTTTTGACGAAGTCAAGACAATTACCACGAATGTTCCATAAATGTAATTTCTCGAGAATCTAAAATTCCCAACATGTGTTAAATTCTTGTTTCAGGTCAAAAAATATTGCAATACAGGTTTGTTTTGTTGCCAGTGCTTCGTGAATATCACTTTCTAAGTCCAGAATATTGTCGATTCCTGATCGGTGTTTTCTAAAACTATTCTGTTCCGATATGAAGAGATTTGATCTTTCTATATACCAAGAAAGTCGACAATTGACCATCTTCTCCATGAGTTTACTCATTGAACATGTAAAACTTATGGTCCTATAAGAATCTGGCTCAAGAGGATGTTTTTGACTTTTTAGTAAAGGAAGCACTATGGATTTAGACCAGATGGATGAAAACTTATGACATTGCCAAATGAAATTAATTATTTTAAGCAAAAATACTTCAGCTACTTCCGAAAGATGTTTCAGAAATACGACTTGTATATCGTCCGGCCCTGGACTGGTATTCCTTAAATCCTGAAGACTGGAGTTCAGCTCTGAAGGCAATATTTAGTGGAGTATTCTGATCGTTATCATCTAGAATATTGTTTTTTTCCACCAATAGGTTATTTCGTAAGAAAGTGGGACTGTAATTATCATTTGAAGACATTTGTTCATAGTGGTTGGCTAGAACATTTGCTATTTCTGGGGCCGAGCTTATAATATTGTTATTGAATTTGAGGTTATAAACGGTGTAGTTTTTAAGCCATTTGATTTCCTGATTCTTTTCCAGACTTCCGAGATTGCATGAGTTTTGTTTAGCTTGATTTACTAGCTGTTGTGCTTTAGCTTTAGCTTTCTTGAATTCGATTTTATCTTCTGTTGTTTTATACTTTTATATTTATTAAATAACGATCTACTAAACCGAATTGCTCTTCTGCAATCACTGTTCCACCAAGGGACTGGATTATGTATATTCGATTTTCTAGTTTTTCCTATAGCAAGCTCGGCACCTCGTAGTATAAAATTAGTAAAATTAGCTATGGATTCGTCTATGTCTTCAGTCAATTGGTAATGTGACATTGCAACGTCGATGTAGTTTTCGAACTGTTGCCAGTTGGCAGAATCAATTTTCCATGTTTGGATAAACATATAAGTGTTATAAGCCAAGAGGTCTTTGACTATTATGGGATAATGATCACTACCATATGTGAAGTCGATAACTTCCCATGTCAAACGTGTAGATAGCCTTGGATCGCATATACCTAAATCAATTGCCGAGCCCTCTCCTGTATTTATATTGAACCTGGTTGAAGAGCCGTCATTTAGAAAATCTAGTTGTAAGTCTGTATTATCCTTTCAACTACTCTACCTCTGCTGTCTCTATTGTGTCCATTGAAATCTCCTACAATCAGGCGTGGAGTTGGTATTTGAGTCAACAGATCTGACAAATCATTATAGTTTATAGGACAGCTAGATGGTAAGTAGATATTACAAACGTAGTATTTACTTGGTGAATCGATTTCGATTACTATGACTTCTAATTCACTGTTGACTTGTAAAACATTTGCATTTATTGACTTTTTTACTAGGGTCGCTACACCACTAGAAGAATGATTATTATTAGTGATCCTGTCCCGCCGAAAACAATTGATTTTTTTTCTTGAAAGCATATAATGGAGAATGGGTTGCTATTAAGATTTGTAACATAGCTAGACGATGGAGAAATCCATCTATATTCCACTGGATGAGAGAAGTGAATTTTAGGAAAACAAAGAAGCGTGGCAGTCAACAAAATATTACTGGCTTATCTGCAAAGATCAGCAAAAATCTTCTTTTTTAAAATAGTAATTTTTCTCTTCACTGCTTTGTCCTTTAAGTGAGGGTGAATTTTCATAAGCATGTGTGTGACTCCCAGGAGATTAGTAGTGAAATCGTTCGCCACAGCGATAGGATCTGCTGAATTATTAATGTTACTCAAAAGTTGTTCATAGTTGAGAGCAAAAGGAGGGAAGTGAGTTTCTATGAACTCTTTCGCAGGTTCGAGAGGATGAGGGTTATCAGTTGCTAGAATGGGAGATGCATTATTAGATTTGGGCTTCTGCTTTTTTTTTCTTCAAATTCAACGAAGGCGTCACAAATTTGGCGGCATTTCCACTGCCTGGTTCTATTAACTTGTATTATCTTTTCAATTCTTATTTTATTTTTTGTTGTTGCTTGTATACCATTTCTTTGTAATTTCAGTTGTTTGTTTAATGACATTGTACGAACAAAAAGTGCCTTTTGTGATTTATGTTGACATTGAATCCATTTTAGAAAAGTGCAATTCTAAATTACCAGACAACTAGACAACATCAAATACATGAAGCATTTTTGGTGAGCTATCATCTACCATGACTCCTTTTCTTTTATCAATAGTTCTGACGGTGAAGGTTTTATGGAATGGATTTTTACTTGAATAAAGAATATAGCACAGTTTGTGGAAGGTGAAATACTCAATATCGACCCAATGATTGAAAAACCAAAAACCGTAAATTTGGAAACTTTTCATATTTGGGAAAAATATTCAAAGTTGATAATGTCATCGTTATATAACACAATCATTTCACGATACAATTCCGAGGCAGCGCATCGAGAGAGCAACATTTCTTTTAAACAAATCTTTGTTGTACCAGTTATTTTATAGTGAAGTATAATAGTATAATACTAATAGTATAATAATAATAGTACAATAATAGTATAATACTAGTATAATAACCACTCCGCCAGTAAAAAAAAGAAATTGAGCCCT